AGATCAGAGAGAAGCAGATTTAAATTGTTTATTTTCTTCGATATGCAAAAGAGGAGATGAGAGTCTGGAAACAACTGCGGAAGCTGGAACTGAGAGGGGCACTAGAAGGGAAAACTAATTATTAAGTGGGGGAAGTATGGATGATGGAAAGTTGCAATGAGTACTTTAAGCCAGCTTACAGACTGGGGGAAGTCCATGAAGCCCGGAGGAAAAGGTTTTTAGCTTGTTGGAAGAAGATGATTGTATTGAGAGTGGAGACACTGGTCTTTCAGCACGTTTGGAGATGAGGGACGACAGGTTTGAGCCAAGGGTTCTGAGGGCCAAGTAGGTGAGCTGTGGAAGGAGCAGGACTGAATCCTTAGGGTGGCGGGGGTTCCACCCAGCTTTGGTGACCTGACAGTTAGAGTAATGCCTCATTATGCAGTCAATTTATCCAGAGTCCTGCTAATGACCTGATTATTTGACTTTTTTGTGTCTATAAAGACACACCTAAAGGGTGAATCACATCAGACCTTGAAGAGCAAAATTGAGGAACCCGCTATAGGTGGGGTTTTGTTTTAGCAGTTTTCTCTTAGATTTTATTTTTTGCCCATATTTTGTTTTATTTTGTTGGATTTAAGATTATTTGGCCTATATGTTTTGGTTCCTTTGCTTAGGCCGGTTTTACATTTACTATGTTATGTGTCAGATCGATCATCCGTTTCACAAATGTGCTGAATCCATGAAGGAGCTGCCTGTCATGCCAGCACTATGGGGCTGGTGGGGAGTAACATATTGACTCAGATATTACAGTACCTACATGTCTCTATATTAGGTCCAGCTTATACCACCACATACTGACAAAAGAGTAGTTGACATGGTTGTTCCTTGAAGCTAACCAGTTTGGACTCGAGCAGTTACGCTAAAGAAGATGTGTAGTTTTGATGGACACAAAAAACTTTCCTCTGTAGGTCAGAGAAAATGGGCAGAGCTGATGGGAAGATATATGGAACTAAATACGAGGCAACCCTGAAATAGAATGCCTATAGAATGCAAAAATCACTAGGTAATGTGAAGGCATTTGGTCAAACCAAGGGATATGAGCATTTTTACAAGGCCTTTATATCAAACACTAAAGTGATGAAGAGAAAGGGAGCACTCAGTGTACTTCATTTTGTACACAGGTGAAAACAGGCTGTTTCTGAATTCTCTGGAAGTGTGTTTGAAGCAAGGGTGTTTGAGCTGTTAGTGTGTAAGGTCTGTTTTAAAAGGGCATCATGACCTCGTCCCTGCAGTGAGTAAATGTGCATGAAAGCGCCCTGGGGAGCAACAGCAGTGCGGATTGTTTAGGTCAGCGGTGGCAGTCTCAGAACACCAGATCTCTATCAGATGAGCAGGGTCCTCTCAGAGACGGCGTCATTAATATGTTTCAAGGAGTGAAAAACAAAGAACTGTCTGTTGTTTTGTTTGAAAGGCTCCTGCTGCAAGCTATCTTCTAATGGCATTCATAAAGCCTTAGAGTACACAGCAGGCAGATTATAAAGCATCACAGAGTCAATCACAGTGAGTGTGCTGCCTACGATACACCAAGCAGATATTGAGTGGCTGAGATTTGTTGTGTTCTAGTTGGTTGTAGCCCTGGGTCTTCAAAGAATTCTTTGCTCTGATAGGACTCCCTTAACATTTTAGAGTAAACTGATCCGCTTTTGACCTAAAATTAAACTGTTTCTGGGTAAAGGAGCCAAGCACTTTGGCTCTAGGGAAAATTATAAATTTAGCTTGCCTTGTTCTTCAAATGTTTTCATGTCATCTTGGCCCATCTTATTTGCAGCTGTACTGGGAAATCAATTGAATATGAGAGCTTACTGGAGGAATTTTCAGCAATGTCTCTACCGGAACATAGAGGAAAGGTGCATTTCTTGACTACAGTGTGTAAAAAAACAAAAAAACACACAAATAGAAAAAAGAAACTGTTGATCCTTTTCTGAAATAAACCTGGTATGTCCAAGAAAGCTTTTAATTATTCATATCCTAGCCAAATCGTTTCTTGTGGCTTGGATCCGGGTAGCAGTAAGTGCTCTGGGCAATTCTGCAATCGATCCAAAGTGTCTTTGGTGTTTGAGAGGCAGCTTCCCTCAGATCAAGCTACTAAACCCATGCTTCACTTCAAGAGATGGTAGACCGATGTCTGTAATTTGCCAAGTGGGATCCCAAGGGTTAAATGGTGGTACCTTAGTAGAAAAAGAATGTGGGGCCTTTCCACTGGTGGCCGGTGTCAGTGTAAAATAAAATAAGCATGGGAGAGACCAGTTTCACTAAGGGAGAGATGAGGGTTTAGAAAAAAGGAATTTCATCCGTCAGCTTTCTACAAGCAAGAACATTGTACTGTCGTCTGGGAATTGGAAAAGCTTAGAAGTCAATCTCAACTATAAATGTGAACATGACCAATCAATAAAGACCTTTTCATGGAAAAATGAATATTTTATGACCAATCCATCTTTAAGAAAATCAATATTGTAGAGTGGAGAATATGAATAATAATACTGGATACTACGGCTATGTGGATGAATAGGTAAGTGGCATAAAGATAATGACTGACTCAAAAAGTTTGTGTCATTCAATAATATTTTATGCCGTTTTATTGTTCGGGCCGTCTTTATGATATGCTTGCCACTCTTCAGGCAACAACAATCAATTTCTTTCTCATTCATATTTAACAGATTTTCATTTTGAGGTTTTATGGTTTCAAAAGAAGAAAGGTGGAAGAGCTTAAAATCACAGTTGTTTTCTTAACTAATTTGTAAAAAGTAGCTGACAATTGATACTTTGAAAAAAAAAGCTACTTGTATACTATTCTCATACTTCTATATACCAGCTTTAATTTAAATAATTAAAACTGTTCCCAGTTCCCCATCTAAGAAAGTAATTTTATTAGATAGTAGACATCTTCTCTGAATACATTTTTCTCACTTAGAATTCAGCTGTTCTCTGAGGGCCTCAAAAGTCTTTTTTTGAACATTTGTGAACAAAACATCAAGGAACACAGTGGTCAAGTGAGGGAAATCAGAAAATAAGCTTTTATTTTTTGGAGAAGCTAAAAGAAGCATTGACTACTCCTTGGTACTATTTAACTGAATAAAACAATTTCTTTCAACTGTAACTTTGGAGATTGAGCTACAGATATAGTCGTTTTTCAATTCATATTGAATGATAAGACCTTTGGATCACTCTCCAAAGTTCTTTAAAATGCTGAATAATAAGGCTGTGATATTAAAGAATCAAAGTTACTCATACATTTTTCTCAAACTGTTAATATGACTGCACCCTGTCTGTGGTCAGATGCCTTTGAAAACAAAACCAGACTTTAACACTTTGATTTAAATAAGGCAGAAAAAAATTATACAGAAATCAGCAATAAGACTCTTGCAAGGAAGGTACCAATACAGATGAAATAACGCTATAACAATATGACATTATGTTTATGAATATACATTTTTCGTTCAGATTAAAATAACAAAAAATAGAAGAAATAACTTTTTGTAAAGGTTTCTTCTACTGATGTGCTTATTAGGACTGTTCACTCTCCCATATTGTCTGTATTTTATCAGTGTTATAATGTCTACATTAATAATATTATTGTTTAGCACTTATTTTATTCACCAATGAAGCTCAGGTCCTAGCGGTCCATAGCAGCCCTTCCTATCTGTGTCCTGTGTATATTGTGAGCCTTGAGGCTTTTTTTTTTATTGTAGTTTGTTTTGCTTAGTTTTGTAAGAGGAATTTCTGCCGGTCGGCCTACTTATACTGCTCCAATATTAAATTATCTAGGCTAGCAAAGGGTTTTTTATGGTGCACTGTCTTGAACGTAGATAGTTATTTCTAGAGACATACAGCTCCATTCTTCAGTTAACTTACTCATCACTCTTACAGACAGTGTTGTTTGTTTTATATTTTATTTATTGAACCGCTTTCTGTGAAGTTATGCAAGCATTGACACGTTTTCTCTGTTTTAATGTGGTTCGATATGAATTTAACTGATAAGATTTTCAGTAAAAGGAAAGTCAAATGACACTCATTTAGTGTTATGATTTGATTTCCTTATCAAAGATTATCCCAGATTGGTTACAACATACTTGCAGCAATTATTAAAAGGGTGATTGTAATTGTAAAGATATAAAGACACAAAGTAATTGTCAAAAAAAATGGACCATCACTGCAGCTTGACAGTGCTTCTTTGCTTCTGTCACACCTCCGCCTCTTTTGTACTACTTTTTCTCAATATATTACTCCCTCTTGCCTTGGAAATACTGCTTCTGCTGTCTTTTCGTAAACACTGCCCTTTTTACTGAAGAATCAACATTTCAGTAAACGTCAACACAGCTTCATTTTTTTTTCTTTTTCACTTGAGTCTAAACAGTTATCTTGACACTGACAAGGTATTCCCACAACAAAAAATCCATGATGTCCTGTAAATATGAGAAATCTAAAATCCTTCCTTCCTTCCTTCCTTCCTTCCTTCCTTCCTTCCTTCCTTCCTTCCTTCCTTCCTTCCTTCCTTCNTTCCTTCCTTCCTTCCTTCCTTCCTTCCTTCCTTCCTTCCTTCCTTCCTTCCTTGTGTGATTTTTATTTTTATCATTTCAAAAAATTTGTTGAACCAAATCGAAAATGAAAAGAGTTTTAGTGTTTTTGTTTTGGTGCCTAGACTGACATCCTTGGGAAAACAAAAGTGGTTCTCTCTGCCCTCTCCTCTTTGAACCCCCTACTTTGTATTCTCTTTATTTTTTATGAGAAACAACAGGGCTATGAATTTAACTTTAGCTTAGACTGGAACAGACAACCTGCACTAGATCAAACATAGAAATGTGAAAAATAGGGGGATTTACTGTTAAATGCCTTGTAAACCTTTGTTTAAAGGAGTTTTTGATCTCTCTGAAAGACAACATCCTCAATCATGCATGTGCAATAGTCTGTCAATTCTCTCATGTTCTCTGCTCTTTTCTTCCCTGTCTGCTTTCTATCAGGTTTCAAAAAAAGGAAGAGAGAGGTGTTGTGGGAGTCCAGTAATACTCTGGGGACTTGCCCTCATCTGATGGAGTTCATCCCCTGTGAGGATCCTGTCTGCTACCGGTGGCAAATCCAACAAAAGGAAAAATGCATTCCCACCAATAGCTCCTGTGGTCCTGGAACTGCAGTACAGAATGTGACCTGTGTCAATGCTGAAGGTAATGATTGGGAGGCATAAGTAACCTGCTATCTTCTAATTTAAAATTGTTTTTTTTTTTCCATTGACTTCATTTGTGTCTTAATTAAATTTTAAAGAAAACTCTAAAAACATCACTTACAATAGGGTTAGGATTTTTCCAAAATGCTTCAATTTCTTCTGGCCTGGCAATAGTGTTTGTAATCCTTGAACTGATTTTCGCAGTTTGTTACTCAAAAGTAGGCAACTTTGATGTGTTTTATTGAAGTTGCATGTACTTCATACTTGATTACAAATATTCACAGGTACATTTAATGGACAAAGTCTGAAAAGTAATTTGTAGTGTTGCTAGAAATTCTCCATAGTTCTTCTGCCTTGGTAAGCCTTTGTAATTATCTGCCACGTAAAGGTGCTTTAATCAAAAGCTTTTCATTAAAGCTATGGCTTTTATTGTCCTGCTCCATGGTATACCTTTGCCGCTTTCTCAAACCTTTGGAACCAGTAACAGATTTTCTCTGATAATGTAATGATCAGAGAAATCAGATGGACCTAGAATTCAAACCAGACAACCAGTGTGAAAGCTTAATGCAGTTTATTGAAATGAAACTGCTGCAAGTGGTTTCAGGTACTAGGGCAGGAACCTCGGGAAACAGAGACAGCAATTTGGTGACCAGGTTAGTTTTTACGATGTGCATCAATCTCAAATATAATGCTCACTAAACTTCTCTTCGTCCGGTTGACAGTAGCGGTGATGTTACTGTCACTGGTCAGGAAGTCCCAGAGAATAACTCCAGCCAAGTTACAATGATCCATGGTCAAGCAGAGGCTCAGAACTCGGCAAGAGGAACAGGAGGACAAACCCTAATCCATGGTCAGGGGAAAGTGTCCAGGGTTAGAGCCAGGTAATCAGAAGTCCAAGGAAGAACCAGAGGGAAATCCAAGACGAGGTTGAGAAACCGTTCCAGGTTATGTAACGAGCAGGTAGACAAACAGATCAGGCTCAGGCTGCACAGGGTGGCAGTCACTTCAGACAGGGATCAGGCAGGTTCAGAAACAGGGACAGATCAGGTCAGGCAAACAGGCAGGAAGTCAGGATTCAGAATAGTGGAATAGATCTCACCAATGGCTTGAAATAATCTGGCACTGATGTTTGGTCTGAAGGCTGGTTATATACTGATAGGTGCAGGTGGATCAGATGAGTAGTAATGAGAAGGGGAGCAGGTGTTCCTTGGGAGGAATCAGACCAGATCAGTGGTGAAATCATGACAGATAGTTGCCTTTTATTTAGTTCTACATATCTTTCCTTAAAGCTTAAACCAGTTTTCTTCGACCTGGAGAAGAATATGATTCCTAGCTTGATGTTGCCACTGTTGTATTTTCCTATGGGGTGTTGTGTTCCGAATGTTGTGCAGTACTAGTTTTCCTCTACAAATATATATATATATATTTTTTTTTTCATAGTTTTCAAAAAGATCAATGTGGATGTTCCTGTACATGTTAGTGTACAGGAAGTTCCACATGTTTCGAATTCCCACAATATATGGGAATCTGAAAATGGAACATGGAACTTTATGTTTTTTATTCAACAATAAGTTTCTTCCTTTCACTCTTTTGTAAAGATCAATAACTAGGTGTGCATGACTACTAGTTGTTCTGTCAACAGATTTTAGCTAAAGTGTAGATCGATTTTTTCCCATCAATGGCTGACTGGTTACCAGTATGTCCGTTTAAGATTATGATTGTGGCATAGGGCATATCCCAGTTCAGGAGCTGAATGCTTGAAAAAAAACAATTTTTTTTTTCATTTTGTATGACTATTCTCACAGAAATAAAAAGATAAATGAAACATATATCATATGAAAGGTCACAACTATTAGAGGAAGATCAGGGATTTTAATTCTCATTAGCCTTCAATATTCTGGTTTTAAGAAACATAAAAATATTTTTCTAGAAGATGTGTTTTATGTGTGTTTTATACAGTTTTATACAGTAAACATAACTTTTTTCTTTTTAATCCATAATACTCAGGGAAAAATTAATATTTTATCTGGACCCTCACAATTTGCTCCAATTTTTTTTTCTAATTTAAAAGCTGCACCAGTTGTACAATGGCTGCAGGCATATGAAGTTGAGCTAATTACTAATCTGCTATTATACCTCCAGTATAGGTAAATAAAATCATCTAGTTTGAAACTTAAATGTAATTTAAGTTAAGACTAGATAATAAATCAATGTTTTTAATAAGCCAAACATAACAGTTTTGATATTATCTGAAGGAGTTGTTTAACCTCAACCCAGCAGTTTTGCCAAAAATAGGTTGAACACAATGAGCCGGGCACCATGAGCCTTCCACTGTAAAGGGAGAGAAGACTGCCCAGTGAGCTAACAGCTGCTGAGGCACGATAGTACTAAGAATCACCACAGTACTTTTTTAAATGAAAGGGAACCTTAATGAACCGGGTAGGTATTAATCAAACCTGCACTCTCGCCTTAAAACATCTTAAAAAATATTTGAGGTCCTAGAAAACGTATTTCAATTTTTATTCACAATTTTTGCCACTGTTTCCAGCCATTGCTGCCTGAGCTTGACAAATCAGCTTCTACTCACACTGAATTACTGAAATATTGGGCAACAAAGGATCATCCAGATGCATCCTTCAAATCAGCCAAAGAAAGGATCCATTTGGTGGACACATTTGAAGGACTCTAAGGAGGATTTGTTGATTGGGACAGCCTTCAATGCAGCACTGCGCCATAATCTTTTTCTACAAATAGAGCCTATGAAGGATACAGACCCTGAAGTAAGACTCCGCTATAAGTGAAAAAGATGGTACTAGGACTATTTTTAGCTATATCCTTTATAAATCCTCTACATAGGACATTTGTGATTTGTTGCTTACTTTACTCCTTATGTTTGTACCTCACTGTGTTTATAAACAACTGTGGCCTTTATAGAAACACTGTATTAGTTTATAATCATTTTGAATTATTTATACCAAATTAAATACTGATGTACTTCTGAAGGAAAATAGTTGAACTAGATTTTATTTAGGGGGTACACTTTTGGGTTTTTTATATAACCATTTATCATCTTCGTTCCATGTCAGAATTATGCTCTACTTTGTTATCTGTTAAAAAAAATATATATTTAGGTTCATAATTCTGACAGTACAAACTTTAAAAAGTCCAAGGGGTGTGCATACTTTTAGCCTAAGGATGGGAATGTCGGCATGACTAAAACATGTTTTACCTTATTAGGTATTACAAAAGCATAATACTAATAAATATCTGCAAGACTCCCTGAATTAAAAAAGCATGCTTCCTAATTTTATCCAAAAAGATAATGAGATATATTGAACAATGCTTTACTTGAAACAGCTTGAGATGTATGAACTAAGTAATTCCTTTTTGAATCACACCATGATACAAAGAAGCTGAAATAGCTATTCCTAAAAATTTAAATTAATAGAAGCTATAAAATTTATCAAGGGTACAGTAGTGGCAGCAATGCAGTGATGTAGAGAGACCTTACCCTCAGTTTTATTGTGACGCCTAAAACACCGAGTGTAATGTGATCGGTTGTGCTCAGCCATATCATCAAGGTGGGTGATAGGAGCATTATCATTAACGGAGCATGCATTATTCATTATGGACCACTGTCAGCTTTATGGGCACAGAAAACACAGGCCTGATTAAAAGTCAGAATCCCTGCTTCCTACCAGGCATTAATTGCTCATCTCAATTGATTATGGGCCTAATTAGAGTCTTTTTTTGTCTGTGTTTTATTACTCTGTCACAATGGAACGTGTGTATGTTTGTCACAAATCCAGATGAGAGTCCAAATACATTAGCCGGTGTGAGGGCCTAATGAGTTTTGACGGGCAGAGTAAAGATGGCAGCTTTGAAAGTTGGTGAAAAGAGGCTTGTGAAATTAAATGGGATTGATTTAGTGTTCAGGAATAATGACATTTTTTTCATCTATTTTACATTTTGATTTATTGGACTTGCAATTACTATTTCTTGGTGCATTAAATATTGTTCTAGGCATATCACAAACTGATTTTATCTTTGTTTTTGTAGGGAATCTAGTGTACATACTTTATAAGGCTGCTGTCCAGAGTTTTATGCATTAAGGGACAAATATTCTGGAGTATTACCCTGTGTTGCATCCTCTATCTAAGTATTTTGATTGTTTCTTACCCATCCCACATATCTTTGTCTAATATTGATATTGGCTATTAATATTAGACAAAGATAATATTACTACATTACAATGCAGTTAGGTGATTCATCAATCAGCTAAGAAAAAAATAGCAATTTAAATAAATTGGTTAATTAAAAAAACAAATTGCTATTGAATCTTTAAACTGCAACAGCTACCATCTAACATTTCCAGTAATTGACAAGTTGTAGTTTACAGCTGTTGAGGAAATTTTTTTCACTCAGCTTTGTAGAATTGTTTTAACTCAGGTCTTATCATAAAAACCCAGTTAAAAACAGCATCTCAATCAGATTTAAGTGTAGAATTTGATTAGGCCACATTTGTTGTCTTTGAGACATTCATAGGAGGACTTAAAGGTGTAGTGGAGAATTTTTGTGAATTTTTGAAAAGACTCCACAACCCTGTACCCGCTCCCGAGGGGGAACACTTACAGTATTAAGCGTGTGAGAGAGCATGCATGAGCCCAATTCTACTCGTGCACGCTCTGTTTAAGTTGCTGTTTGCATCGCTCATACAAGCTTACTTTCCACAAGAAGATTAGCAATTTTTCCTCTAAGTCAGAATCACTACCGGTAAATATGAAAATGGAGATAAGCACGTAGGATGGCCTTATGTAAAAAATATCACCAGAATGATTGACAATTAGGAGGGCCACTTATTTTGATGATCCACCCAGAAAAACAATATCCTCCACTATACCTTTAAAGGTCTTTCGTTCATCACTGTAGTGGTAGAAAAAAAGAATCTGAACTGATAGTCAGAAATTATAACTATTGACAAAGAATGAAGATGAACCTATG